TTTCTTTCTTTCTTCCTTTCTCTCTCTCTCTCCCTCCCTCCCTCCCTCTCTCTCTGTGCCAGTGTCTCTCTCTCTCTCTCTGTGTGTGTGTGTGTGTGTGTGTGTGTGGCAGTGGTGAGTTTCAAATTTTTTGGGAACCTCTTCTGTAGATGTGGCCTGCTTTCCGGGTCCACTGGTGGAACCTTTTCTAACCAGTTCGGTAGATTTGACGAACCGGTTCTACCGAATAGGTGCGAACTGGTAGGAACCCACCTCTGCTCAAAGTAAAGACTTACTCATTGTCTCTATCCTATATTTAATCACGCTGAGGAAGCCAGATGTCTTATGTCAGTCTTTTGAGGCAGATAACATCAGGAAGCAGAGGCCACAAGAATTATTAGAACAGTATCATTAGAAGGTATAATAACCCAATCTCGAAATCCTGACTGAGATTTACTTGATTTCCTCTTATACTAAAGGAGAAACCAAAGACAATCTTGAGTTTTTCCCCTCATCCCTTCCTGCCTATCTGGGTTAAGTGAAGGTTTACACAACAGTTTTTGAATCCCTTCTTCAAAGCCATCTCCATGCCTGCTGAAACCATGGATGAAAATTACTCCAAATAAGTCATTCTGAAAATCTGAAATAATCTCTCACTGAGAATATCGGACTTTATAGAGTTGATATTGTGTGAAAAAATATGAGGGGGGGAGAGGTATTGCCTTGAGCTCCAGTACAGAAGATGAGATATTATCTAATCTAATCTCTCGTGGGTAAGACATCCCTAACACCTCTCGGGGTGTATGTTCTGTTAAGATACAGCCTGTTGTGCCATAAAATGGCTTCTACTGTACAGCGCAGTGGAGTTGCCATGATAACGGCTTCACAATACTCCACAAGGGGGCTCTTTCTGATAAGGTGGAAAATCCAACATTAGAAATCCTGTCTAATACAAGATTAGGATAAATAAATACCCAGGCAACTCTGGGTTATCAGCTAGTAAGGAAATAAATAAATTTCACAGCCCGTTTTTCAGAACCCAGAGGAACACATGAAGTAGTTCCTTTACTGTTGCTTCTCTACAAACATAATCTTGCCAAACTAAAGCAATTATCTGCTATCAGTATATTCTGTGAACTGCTCGGCAGTGCCTGACCTTGTTCTCTTCCTGTCCACCAGACATTCCAAGCCTTCTGCCTCTTTGCCTTCTGGGAAAAAGCCCCTTTCTCCTGTGATTCCAGACTACATTCAACCACACCGCTTCATGTGACATGCAAAGCTAACGGACGGCTTTGCATAAGATGATTCAAACATCATTTGAGTGATCCTATTGTGATCCACACATAATGCCAATGGTGTGTGTGTGTGTGTGTCAAGAAAACAGTTTGCATTTGTCTATAAACTCATCGGGGGCAGAGCTCAACTCAAAGACTTTACCTTTATGAACTAATGGTGTGATTTCAAGCCTTGTGTTCTGTCCAACTCAAAAAACATCATCAAATCCATAGCATGAGAGAGCTAATAATTAATCCCATCCTTTTAAATATACCCCCCAAAATATCTATACCAGAATGTTAAATGCAACTATTTTCATAAGGGTGAAATTATAAAGGTGATATTACAATAATTATAATCCCCGTGTTTCTGGCATAATGTCTAAATAATCATCTGCATTAATGGATTTGTTTGTGGATGCCCTTTATATAATTGTATGAAATCTTTTGTATATGCCAAGGTTACATAAAAACTGCCCTATACGTGCTTCACAGTCTTCACTGGCAGGAATATAATGGTTTTGCAAGCTAGAGCTAGCTATACCAAAATAAATAAATAAAAATAGAGGATTACTCTCAGTTAATAAATGCAACATCCAGCCTGTTCACCAGTCTCAAACCTGAATAGGAGCAACAAGTACATTCAGGAAATAGAAAAATTGAGCCAATTTGATATTTTTCTCAGATAAGATGTACTGACACAGCAGGATAAAATTCATGTCCCTCTTGTGCCATATGATAGTTTAGCATCCCACTGCACTGGAAGCTTAACACACTAGTAAAAAAATTAAGTGCAGTATTATGTGACTATTCCCATAATAAAATCACAGTAAAACCAAGGCTTCAAGGGAAAGGCGCACATCATGTTCCCACTAAAAAAGCCACATACTGCTATGTATCTTGCAATTCAAAAACGTCATTTAAAGTGAGAGTAGAAAGTGGGATTAATACATGAACGAGGCAGATCTTCTGGACTAATCTTTAGCATATGCTACATTAAATCTTTCTTAGTAAGTGGCTGCTTAAAGGCTCTGAATCTTTGAAAACACACAGAAAATACTTTGCATAGAATGAAGCATCACTTAAGTTAATATCTTCCAGGCTTTTTTTTTCTTTGTTTTGTTTTAATGCCTTCGAGTCCGTGTTGATTTCTGGCGACTGCCTGGACCAGTCCCTGTATTTATCTTGGCAAGATTTTTGGAAGTGTTTTTCCCTTGCCATCTTCCTGGGGCTGAGAGAGAGTGACTGGCCCAAGGTCATCCAGCTGGCTTAATGTCGAAGGTAGGACTAGAACTCACACTCTCCCAATTTCTAGCCTGATGCCTTACCCAATGCACCCAAGTGGCTTCTGTTTTAATATCCACCTAGACAATTTCCTTTTGCTTGCTCTGCAATTTTATCTTAGGATATCCACCAGTTAACCATTATTTTCTCTTCAAATTTCTGTCCTTTTCCAGATTGCAAGTTAACTTTGAAATAGCAGCCAAGAATGGAATTTAATAATACAAGTTTACTTTCTTGGAGAGCAAAATCAGACCAGGCAAATAAAAGGGGATGGATTATTCACAGATCAAACTCTAATCCTACACTCTTGTTGACTTGAGTTTCCAGTCGGTATAGCAAGAACTCCAACCAAATATCCTTCTTAATCCGTGAGTACATGAAAAAAGCAAAGTTTCCCTCTGTGATGTCTGATCAGCCCCACAAGCTCTTTCCCCAGAAAACAGATGAGGAGAAACTGACAGGACTTGCCTTCTTCAATTTAGTAAGAACAAGGGGTGGCATTCAGCTGGTTCGGACTGGTTCAGAGGAACCGGATGCTAATTTTACATCTGATTCGCCGAATCGGTAGTTGCAAGGACTGGCTGGCCTCGCCTACCTTGCACTGCGACTCCCAGGAGTCTCCACGCAACCTGTTTTGGATGCCAAGTAAGTGCAGGGCCCATGCAGAGGCTCTGGGAGGGTGAAAAATGGGCCTCCCATAAGTCTGGAAATGGGTCCGTTTCCAGCCTCTGGAGCCCGGGGCAGAATGTTTTCGCTCTCCTGGAGGCTCGAGGAAAGCCTCTGGAGCCTGGGGAGGGTGACAATGCCTCCCCACCCCATGCTGCAGGAGGCCAAGTAGGCCATGCCCATGCCCACGCAGCAACCGGGCAGCGAACTGGTTGCAAACATTTTTGAATCCCACCCTGGTAAGAACCCTACAACTCACCCATTATACTTTCTGTTCCATTTGCCGGAGGTGTACAGGAAGAAGCACTGTAATGGGTTGTGGCACTGCGATGGAAAGTGGACATTGGAGGAAGACTGGAATTGATGTCTGCTGAAGAGTGTGATGGGTAGCTCTGTGGCACACAGCAGGGAAAAATAACATTTCAGTTAGCAAGTAATGGTTATACAGAGTTGCTGATTTTATTATTCATTCATTCACTCACTCACTAAATTTATATAACTCACAAATAGGTGACTCCGGGCAGCCTCAAAAAAATTAAAAATCCATAAAACCTATTAAAAAAAATATTCTACCTTCCACACCTGCAATGACACAATCAATTCAGCCATTTGATCGACTCCATCTCCATTCATGATCCCCAAATCTGCTCACGAAACCACGTTCTTAAGGGGCCTTTCAGAAAAGCAGTAGGGTGCAGGCCAACTCTGCCTTGGGGGAGTGATGTCTCATGAAGAAGGTCAATTGTACAATGAACCCCTATTTTTAGGAGATCTCTTATTGCTTGTAAACAACCTTGATCACCCAGCTTGGATGGAAAGGTAGACTATAAGAAAAAGAAATTTGGTGACATCTCCCAGGGGGACTTTTGGGGTGGGGGCTGGGGTGGGGGTGCCCTTGTTTCATCCTAAAATCTTTGATATGTAGCTGAGAGACTCCTAGGCGTAAGGTACAACATGACCTGTACCCGAAGCCCAGCAGAACATCAGAACAGTGGATCAAAGAACAAAACTCCATTGTAAGGCTGTAAAAATTGTTAGCATTTATGTCAGCGAAGGCTGTTTTAAAGATTGCCACGCAAAGAAGCATCTTCAAAGGGAAAAGAAAAAAGAAAGCATCCTCAAGACAGGGTTCTGCTGTATAGAGTTAGCTCTGCTTGGCCTCCTCCTCATTTTGCAATTAGGATTTAAAGTCTCGCACATGTGGGGGAAAAAGAGATTTTATTTTTAAACCATGAAATGTACAGAGGTGTCTCTCTCTCTCTCTCTCTGTGCGTGTTGTCCATGAAAAGGCACCAGATTTCTTCATTTATAACTCTGCTTTTGTCAAACGGTTTTCTCTTAAGCAGTGAAATCCATGGTCCTTCTCTTCCAACAGAGATAAACATGAGTGTGTGAGAAAAAAGTGGTTTAAATTGGTGAAAAGTTTGTCTTCTATATTTGTTGCACACACAGATTGACATATAGTGCCGATTAGTAGCCTTACCAAGCGGTCATGAGGATGGAGACTGCAATAGCTACTGGACTGTGGAATATGAGATGAATTGCCCAACATGCCTCCATATCCAGGAGGATTCATTCCACTGGATGAGTTCCACGGATCGCTGCTGTGGTGGCCGTCTGTAAAATGTACAGGAGAAAATGTACGATGTAAAAAAGATGCTGAGACTCTAGAAAGAGTGCAGAGAAGAGCAACAAAGATGATTAGAAGACTAGAGGCTAAAACATGCGGAGAACGGTTGCTGGAACTGGGTATGTCTAGTTTAATGAAAAGAAGGACTAGGGGAGACATGATAGCAGTTTTCCAATATCTCAGGGGTTGCAACAAAGAAGAGGGGGTCAAGTTATTCTCCACGGCACCTGAGGGCAGGACAAGAAGCAACGGATGGAAACTAAT